TTTCCCTCAGCCAAGTGGCAGCTTCTTCCAGCTATGCCAATGCCCTGACAGCCAGAGAGGCTGCCCAAAGCGGGGAGGAGTCAGAGAGCTGCAGTGCTGCGCTGGGCACGGCGCCGCGCGCTCCAGACAACCTGGAGATGGGGAAGGGACCCAGAGCAGCGCAGGGCCCGCCCCGGGGAGCCCCGAGAGCTGGTGCCGCCAGAGGGCAGCACAGGCACCGGCCGGCGGCTCGCCGGGGACCCCCGGCTGTCGCGGGGAGCGCGCGCGTCCCGGCCTCGCGCCATCAGGGACTCCAGCTCAGCGACCACCCGCCACTTCCCGTGCTAATGAAGCCCTAATTGTCTGAGGAGGGGGATAATTAGCGCCTTCATTAACCTCCGTCGGCCTGCAGCTGTGTGGGTTTCCTCCTGCCACCATACGGATGTGCTGGCAGGCATTTAAACAGCTCATGGCTATGCTTGGGACTTCCCTGTTACACCTTCCTGTCCCACTCAGAGATGAGACCTTCTGCCCTTAAGGATCTTAATAGCAGCAGACCTGGGAGGGATGTGGGCTCTGAGTATAGCTCCTATACCATTCCCCATCCTTGCCCCATACCAGTAAGGGGTACTTGCCTCCTCACCAGAAGAAGCTGGGGGATGCCTAGTGCCAGGATCCCTCTCTCTGCTCGGGGATGAGGAAGCAGAGATGTGCTTCCATGTAGATTCAACGCCTTCTCTGCCTTGCGGTTTCCACCCAGAGGAGCTGTGTTTCTCCGTCTTTCTGAGCCATTCCCAGCACTGCCGTTCAGCAAATGGCAAGACAAAAATAGCTTCTCTCCAGGGGCTGCAACAGGGCTGCTCGACTTGGCTGTGCAATGCTCCATTCTGACGTGTGAACCCAGGGCTGACCACAGTGAAGGGACTGCAAAAGCTCCTCCAGCCATCTTAGGTAGGCACTGCCCCCCACCCCAAGCCACGCTAAGGGGGTGTCACAAGTTAAGCCTGGATCAGCTGCAGCATCTGTGGGAAAAGGGGAAGGATGGAGGAGGACCAGGGCTGGGGAAGGGAGAGCTGCCTGGACTAGGGTACCCAGAAGCACAAGCAGGTTTCTCCTCCCTGGGTGCTGCAGACAACCTGCCAGCCAGTTTCTCGGGGGCTTCCCATTGCTCAGGCAGGAGTGCTGGGGAGGTTGTCAGCCTGCAGTGAGGGCTTGGGAGGGGGAGTAGCAGAGCTGTCAGACCTGCTCACTGAAAGATGTACCCAGACTGTGAGCTCTGTCTCCACGGGTAAAGCAGCACAGCACAGGAGCTGGCTGGCCAGTCGCTGCCAGGGAGACAGTCCTGCTCCCTGCCTGCCTTTGCCAATGCAGACAGACCACGCTCAGCAAGTGAGCTATTAAAGGACAGCTCCAGTCAGCCAGCAAACACACACTCATTCATCATCCTGGAGCAGGCAGGAGGAAGTGCCAGCTGCTTTTAGCCAGGACCTCTCACAAAGTCCATGCCCAACAGCTCAGCAGTCTGGAGGGGAACTGGGATAAGACTAGGGGGTCCAAGACCCTCCAAAATGCCTTTTTATGTCTTGGGAGCACTGGGAGAGCTGCCGTACCCCAGGCTGGGAGCTTGTGTGTTTCTGAGCCACAGCCCCAGCATGGCAGCATCATGCAGAGAGAGCTTGGAGAGGATGTGAGGGTTCGCACAGGCTTCACCATTCTCTATGTTCCCACCTGCACTAGACAGGCAGAGTTGCATGGCTCTGTGCAGTGGGACACTCAGCTCAGGTGGGTCTCCTGCTGCTGACAGGCACCCACAGGGTGGGTTCTGCATGTGGTTCCTGCAGGTCAACAGTAGCTCTTTTACAGCCTTCAGACAGTATTGCCTGGTTTTACCCCTGCGTCTCACAGCTGCTGTTGCTGATCTCTCCACCTGTATCCATCCCCAGAGCCCAACCAGCTGTGCTGGGTACCAGAGTGCTCCAACACCCCATCTGGAACAATCCTGATTCAAGACATGGATACCCCTTCACACAGCCCAAATTGAGGGCCTGGACAAGAAGCCATCCCTTTGTTGGTGCTAGCATGTAGCTGAGGTATGTGTTATCCTGACTGGAGTAACCCTTAGTAGCAAAGGATCTGTGTATGCTAAGAGTGTCCCAGCAAAGCCTTGCCACCAGCAGCTGAAGATTTGGCCATGGGCAGGAGCCTGAGAGCAGCTTTGAAACTGGCAGTGCCTGGAGCCCTACTCTGTTCTTCCCTCACATCCAAAGACATGTCATTCCAGCTGCCTGGGGTGGGAGGCCCTATTCCCTGGGGAAGGGAAATGCTGCCCTCCCTCCTGCTTTATGCCTTCCCTTAACAACTATTTACAGCCAAGACCTAAAGGAAGAGCCAAGCAGCGATGGCTCCAGGGACATAGTTTGTGCTACATCATTGCCAGCTTCAGGGCTGAAGCCTTAAGTGCAAAACTCAGGAGCAGGGAAAAGATTCTCCTCTTTCACGTGGAAGAGCAGCTGCCTCCAAAGTAAGCTGCAAAGCTTCTTCTTTACCTGCATAAGAAACATCCTGCTGTTATCACAGGGCTTAGGTAATTCCCTAGTGCTTGCAGGAAGCCCTTGCTGCTGGCTTGGGCAGGGACTATGGGCTCACTGGCCTCCTCTACCCCAGAGCTGCTCCCACAGTGGGGGAACAGGCTGCTGGCAAGAAAGGAAAAACTGGCCCTGGAGCTATTTCTGCTTCCCACAGCCAAGGCCTCAAGCTGCATCACTGAACAGTCCCAAGCAGGATTTTTAAACTGGCTTCAGCCAAATCTGCCTCCTGGGAATGACAGGAGATGTGCACGCACAAACACACACACGTACTGAGATGCTCGGTGCGGTAACGAACCCCAGGTTGGGGGAGGCAGGGGAGCTCTCTGGCTCTGTCCTCTGTGTAGAAAGCTTCAAAGCCCAGCTCAGCACTGCTGAATATGAATAGCCCTTAACGTGTTCAGAGAAGCCAATTTGGGAGAGCTCACACAGGCTGGGGGCGGCCTCCTGTGTTTCAGATGAAGCAATTTTACTCCAGCACGAGCGAGCAGTATGCAGGAAGGGCTCTGCTTCCTCACCTGCAAAATTCAGCTGTGGATTTCTGATGAGACCATGTTTGCGTGGGAGAAAATCAGTCAATCCTCAAACACGTGAAGAGAGCAAAGACCACAAGCTCCTTCCCATCCCCTCCCTAGGGTTCCTCCATTTTCTCAGTAGGCTGAAACCAGCTCCGTGTATCTAAAGGCACTGGCTTAACCTTCATCAGGGGCCTTGTCCTCATTTTCCTCCTCTGTTTTTTGTACCCCTTTACCAAATCCTCCTGGTTACTTCAGCCCAGCCTAAGCTTGACTTAGTTGGGTGGTGCTGGCCCAGATTTGCTTTGATTCTGGCCACTCCCAAAGCAAACCTGTGTGTCTGGGGGTCTGTGTGCACACATGCATGTTCTCTGCAGATCCAGCTGAGGCCTCCTGCAAGGTAACAGCAGGACAGGGCTGGCCGCAGCACAGGACACGTGGCAATGTGACTGCCCCTCTTCCCTGCCATGGAACAGAGGCCACAGCCTCTGCTCTGCCCCCAGATGTGGCACATCAGCCCTAGGCATCGGGAAGCCCAGCTGGAGGTCTGAAACCCAGCTCTGAGCCTGCAGTTTCATTGCGAAACCTCCTGCATCACCAATGTAGGAGGAAGTGTGTGTGTGTGGGGGGCTGGCTTAGCTCCTCCTGGTTGATAATTCATTACTGCCTGTTAGCCCGGATCCATCCAGCAGCAGCTACATCCTGGCACTGACATGCTCATTTCACACATAAAATGCTGCATCAAAATGCATCATCTGGACATTCTCCATGAAACCCTCCCCAGCTGCTTCTTCCGGTGCTTTACATGCAGGAGCAGTCCTGGGAATTGGAGCGTTTTGTTCTAATGGATGCCTGGCACCTGCTATAGCAATCAGAGCTGCAGTATCCATCCTCCAGCTCATGAGAAACACAGTTAGATCTTCCTGCAAGGGGCAAGGCAGCAGCAAGCAGAGGGTGCAGGTTTCATCCATAGCATGTTTGGATCTGGAGAGGAAGAAGCAGGCTGTGTGCCCGTGGGTGGTTTATTGCATACCATTTTGCAACGATGCAGAAGTGCAGCATCTCTTCTCTCCTCTCCTGAGAGCTCTAGGAGCCCTGGGCAGCAGGGCTGGCTGGTCTTGCCTTGAGGACCTGGAGGAGGCTCCTTTCCCTTTCTCCAAAGTCCCTGACTTTGGCCTGATGCTGGTGACCATCAGTGTGATGGTAAATCTCCTCTCCAGGGCTGAATGAGCAGGGTAGGCTAGGGGACTTGCTTGCACAGTAGGACTGGGTGTGCTCCCCCCAGGTTGGGTGCCTCCTGACTCCCTATAGATCTGTATCCAGGGTTGGGCTTGTTCTCATGAGACCTGGGACTCTGCCACCAAAACTAGGTCCTTCATGGTAGCTGTTGAGTCACAGTCAGCCTTCCCCAGCCCCAAGCCTTCTCCAGCTGACCCCCAGCATACATTCACAGTCTTCTTCACCCCTCCTCATCCTCCCCTCTAGCATTCCGCAGGGCTCTTCTTCCCCACTGTGTCACCCTAGCACCATTTGGAGGAGGAGATCTGCTGGTGTGGGCAGGTTCATCCCTCACCTCGCAGGTAAGAATACAGAGCAGGACCTGGGTGAGAGAGGCCAATTTCAGAAGACCCTCTTCCTTTTCCCCAGACCCTTCCTGTGCCCTCTGTCCTCTGGGACACACCCCCCCCCCCCTCCGCAGAGCCTTGTCCACTCCCCATGTCCTGAACACAGAGGGCTGAAGGAGTTGTGACACCCCGGCAGGTACCAGCTACATCATCCCGTTGGGAGCACCAGCCTCCCTCCCACCGGTGAAGGTCACGCCGGGGCTGCGGCCGCCCAGCAGAACCTCGCCGGGCTCCCACCGGCGAAGGGGCGGGTCGCACCGGGGGCTTGTGCGGCTGCGATTGGCTGTCGGCGGGGAGGCGGGGAGCGGCGGGGCCGCGCCTGGCTGCAGCGGCGGGCGCGGAGCCCAGAGCGGGCGCGGCGGAGCATCTTTGGGCACTGCTGCCCCGGTGCGGGCCGCCTTTCCCGCAGCCCCCGGCCTCCTATGGGCGGTGCCGGCGCCCCGGCCCCCGCACGCCCGTCCCGCTCGGCGTTAGCATGGGCACGGTGCTCTCCCTCTCCCCCGCCGCCTCTTCGGGCAAGGGCGGCGGCGGCGGCGGGGGGCTTCTGGCCGACAAGGCACCGGGCAGGGTGCCGGGCAAAGGCGAGAGCCGGCTGAAGAGGCCCAGTGTGCTCATCTCGGCGCTCACCTGGAAGCGGCTGGTGGCTGCCTCGGCCAAGAAGAAGAAGAGCACCAAGAAGGTGACGCCGAAGCCCGGCGGCGGGGCCCCACCAGGGGCTCCGGGCCAGCCCGACCCGCTGGTGGTGCAGCGCAACCGCGAGAACTTGCGCAAGTCGGTGGTGGGGCCGGCGGAAGGCGGCAAGCAAGGCCCGCTGGCCGTGCCGGTGCCCACCGTGCCCTCGGCGCCGCAGGAGCTACACCCGGGCTCCGGCGGGGGGAAGCCGCCGCCGCCGCCGCCGGCCGGCAGCCGAGCCCCAGGGTCCCCGCGCCGCGTGGTGGTGCAGGCGTCCACCGGCGAGCTGCTGCGCTGCTTGGGGGACTTCGTGTGCCGCCGCTGCTACCGCCTGAAGGAGCTGAGCCCCGGCGAGCTCATCTCCTGGTTCCGCAGCGTGGACCGCTCGCTGCTGCTGCAGGGCTGGCAGGACCAGGGCTTCATCACCCCAGCCAACCTGGTGTTTGTCTACCTGCTGTGCCGGGAAGCGCTGAGGGGCGAAGACATCGGAACCCAGGCTGAGCTGCAGGCCGCCTTCCTCACCTGCCTCTATCTCGCCTACTCCTACATGGGCAACGAGATCTCCTACCCGCTCAAGCCCTTCCTGGTGGAGGGCGACAAGGGGCGCTTCTGGGAGCGCTGCCTGGGCATCATCCAGCGACTCAGCGCCAAGATGCTGCGAATCAACGCAGACCCGCACTACTTCACGCAACTGTTCCAGGACCTCAAGAGCGAGGGCGAGGGTGGAGACGGGTCCAAGCACTGGACGATCAGCCTGGATCGCTAGGGAGGTACCAGGCCTCCGGCGCCGGGGGAAGGGGCAGCGAACGGAGGGGCAGGGGAGGCGAAAGACTGCCGTATTCCCCCACCCCTTTTCCCCCTCCCCGCATCCTCCTTCCTTGCCTTCCCCCCCCCACCCCGGCCTCCAGCTCCATAGAGACGCTGCTTGGACCCTCCCTGCTCCGGATCCGGCCGTGCACCCCCCTCTTCTCATCCCTTCCGACCCCAGCTGGGGTCAGCGCTCCGGGATTCCGGGACGGCGGAGAAGACCCCGGGGGCGGTGTGGTGGTGGTCATATGGGGGTGTCCGTCCCGCTTGTGCGATGGGGAGGAGGGAGGGAAGCTGCCGAGGAACGGAGGTTCCTGGATGCGTTTTCTCTAGGGGAAAAAAAAAAGGGGGGGAAATGGAGCTGGGGTCGCGGGGCAGGAGGGTTCGGGGGGGTGGGGGGTGTCTCTTGGGTCCTGGGGGGCCCCGGGCAAACCATGCATGTGAACGACGCCCCTCGGCCCGCCGCTGGCAGAGCCGGCCCCGCGGGAGCCGCGGCCCCGGAGCTGTCCGTGGTGCTGGAGCAGCCGTGCCTGAGCAGACAAAGGCGTGGCGGGGGGGCGGGCAAGGCCGGGGGGGCCGCGGGTTTTCGTGTCGTGGGCGCTGCCACCCCCCGCCCCCCACCCCCCACGTAGGGGATACGGGCCCTCCCCGGGCATGGGTGATGCTGCCCCTCACCCCGCGGAGCCGCCCCCTTGCCCCTTTGTTCGAGCTGCTGTGGGGGGTAATCCCCGCGGCAATCCTCCGCCTTCTGCGGTGCGCCCCACGAAACAGAATCCCGGTGGGGTGATTTCGGCTCCCCCCACCTCCCCCCCCCCTTTGCCTTGCTGTGGGGAAAGGGGTCTGTGCCAGAGGAGGCCTAGTGAGCCCAGAGGGAGGGGCCTGCTATGGTGGGGAGGGGGGGGTCCCCTCTTCTCTTGCTTTGCTTCACTGGAGAATAAAGAGGTGGTCTGGACGGGCCTGGTGGTGGTTCCCTGGACTTGCTGGTGTGCAAGGGGAATTGGGGGGGGTATGCCAAGATCCGAGTCAAGCCCCCTGTCCTCCCCAGGAGGAACTGGGGGGGGGATGCTGGTTCTCAGAGGGGGCTTTACTCCCTGGTATGAGTTGGAGGTCGGAATTTCATCCTTGTTTGCTGTGCCCAAGGCTAGTCCTGGTCCATCTGAGGGCCTTCTGTCTCCCTGTGAGCTCTCCTGGCCGCCTCCATTCCAAATGGAAATGCCTCATGCCTGTCTGCTGCACTGAATTTAATCAGGATTCCAAATTCCACGTCACCTTCATTTTTATTTCTTTGTTTTTTTCTAAAGCTGCTCCCATCACTTCCTGCCTCCCTGTCTCTGCTCTGCAGGGCTGGGCTCCCTTCCCTGGCAGCAGCAGTCTGTGGGAGCTGTGTTGCTAGCCCAGTTACCAGCCTTGTGCTTCTGAAGACCCCCAGGGAGAGGGGTGGGGAGAGGGAAGGCTTTGCCTTTCTCATAGCTGGTTGCTATGCTTCAAGCTACTGAATTTGCCAGGGTTTCCTTAGCAGGATCCACAGCACATGCTCCCTGGTTGGGGTCTAAATCCAGTGCTTCGCAGCCCCTCTGAGCCAGGCTCTCTGGCTCCCCTCAGTCAGGAAGAGCTGTGCTGGCTCTGCAGGTCATGGAGGGTAAGCTGGATTCTCTCTACCTTTGTGTGCATCAGCAGAGCTGCTAATTAGGCCCAATCTGGCTCATTCAGGCAAAGCTGTGCTGCCAGGAAGATAGCACAGATGTCCCTGTGGCGGGGGCTGACCTGGCAGGGTGCTGTGCAAGGCTTTTCTGTGGCTGGGTAAACTCACCAGGACCTGTGCTGCTCTGCTTTCTCCTGTCCCTAATAGGGACTCTTGCCCCTGCCTTCAGATTGACATTCATGTGACCTTGTGGTGAGCTGCCTGGGCCAAAATATACTCCGACTCACCCCAAATTTGGCCATATCCACATCTTGTGCCAGGGAAGGTTGTTGTTCTTACTCTGTTTAAACAGGGGTGGAATTGGACCCTTAGAGCTGCTATGGGGCTGCTGGGGGAGCCTGACAATCCCCATTGTCGTTTTGGAGAGAGAGAAACTGAGGACAGTGAGATGAAGCAGCATGCCACAATCCAGCAAGAGGGGTCTGAAGCACTGCAGGGTTAACACCCCAGCCATCCATGCTGGCTCTCTCCACCCTGAGCAGGGGGTGTTTGTCCAGTGGCCCCTGACCCCCAGTCATGGGGCTTTATAGAGTCTCATCTCCAGAGCTAAGCAACCTGTCAGCACTCACTGGTGGAGGTTTCCGACCCTACAGGTCCCCTTAAAGACAACCTTGGACCTTCCATCCTCAAGCCACAGCCTTTTAAAATGCTTCCAGCTGCAGCAAGGCCATGTCCTTCCCCTCCTTCCTTGTGTTTCATTGATTAAGAGTGCTAGGCCTCATTGGGGGATTTAGAAAGAGCTAATTGCAGACTGGTAATTGAAGACAGCTTGGAGTCTCTGGAAATGTCAAGGAATGAGAGACGAGCTTAGATGCTCCTGTGCATTTAAATATGCATCGTCGGCTCAGGCAGAGCTTTACTGAGGGGAGAGATGTCTGGTTTTCCCTACCCCAGAGGACCTTGTACAGCTGCTGAGAGGAGCAGGGCAAGGGGAGCACCAACCCTTCCTTGTCTGGGAGCATTCTACTCACTCCAAGGCAAAGGGAAAGTGGGGGGCAGCACACACAAGCTGGGGGGGGGGGGGTACTTAAGGTGAGAATTATCAGACAGGCTTGGGAGCTTGGCCTTTTCCCCTCTGAGAAGCTGTGTGTTTTAATCTGTCAGACCCCTGCATGATGCCATGGGGGTCTGGGCTCAGGAGCCACCTGGGGGGCAGCAGTGGGGGGCTGAGACCCTTTTAGGACAGGCTGGAAATCCCCCCTTGCTGCCAGCTACAGGGCCCAGCAGTGTCTGGGGTTGCAGGGATGGGGGATTCACATCAGATTTGGGGCTCAGAGGTAGACAGAGTAGCAGGGGCACGTCAGGGATCTATCACCATAGGGTCTTGGTGAGGAATCCCAGCTCTTTCCTAGTTTGAAATTCCTCCAGCAGCAATACCTCTCCTCCCTATGTCTCACAGTGGATGCCCCAGCTGCTCCAGTCCATGTTGCACCGAGGGAGGTGGGCAAAAGCCCACCAGGTGGTGCAGCCTGCAGTGGGCTCAGCCCCTCCCGCTCCAGGGAGGTCTCTTCTCAAGGTGTTGCATTCTTTTGCTCCCCAAGCCTATATGGGGCTGCTGGAGACACCCTGGGTGGCAGTGGGTGCCCAGGATGCATAGTCAGCCATGGAAGTGGGGGTTTCTGCTGGGAATGTGGGACTTCACTGCCCTGCTGCTGTGTCTGCAGAGCAAGCTCCATGCACTGGATGTGCTGGCCATGGCACTGAGGCATGGAGGAGCCATGGGTGGCTGGGGCGACCAGCCTGGCAATCCGTGCCTCCTCCTGCTGGACAAACAACGGTGAGGCTCTGCTCTTGCTATTAAGAGTTGGCAGCATCCCCCAGAGCGACTTGGAGCTGCTCCGTGGGGAGGAAACTGCTCCGGATGATGCAGACCCGGTGCCCACGTGGTTGGTGAAGAACCTGCCTCAGCTCAGCTTTCTGCATAATCCTTTCCCCTCCGTTTGGCTGTGAGGATGATGGATAACATGTTCCTCGAGGCAGATGGAGGTGGGAGGTCTGTCTTCTGCTTCTGTGGGAGTTACTTGGACACTGGTTCCATTTCAGCTTCAGGATGCTGCTACTCTGCTAAATTGGGAATGATTTGTGGGTACAGGTTTCTGGTCCCCTCCCTGCTTCACGGCACTTTGGTCACAGCTGCTGATGGGATGTTTAGGGGAGAAGACATGGACAAAATGACCCAGGGAGATGGCAGCGAGAGCATGAGGGGTCACAGGTTAAACTGGTTGATGAGGTATTTGTAGCCAGGCAGGGGCAGGACAGCTACCACAGGGGCTCAGCTGATGAGGAATGCATCCAGGCTGGGGTGGGACCTGCAAGAGGCTTTGAGCTCTGCCTGTGCCCAGGGTTAGCCTAATGGCAGAGACCAAGGGAGGTGGGACAGCAGAGAGTTTGGTCCCTGCTGTAGCCAAAAACATGGCCTGTGGCATTGCCTGGCTGTTGGGTATTTCACTGAGGAACACAGACAGTGGACAGCTCTGCACCGAGAAGCTGGTGAAGGCGGAGAAGCGGAACCCAAGCCCCTGTGATGGTTAATCCATCTGCCACAGAGCCCAGCAGAGCGGAGGGCCAGGACTGCCTACACTATCGCATTACCTCAAGCCCGCTGAGAGCTGAGCATGGTTACCCTGTGCTGTGTCTCCTGCCTGTCTCATGGTCCTGTGCCACCCCTGAGGACCGAGCTCCTTGGGGTCAGCGGGGCAGCACCAAGCTGTGGCCTGGGGCAGTTGTGGGGAGCCTGCCCCAGGGAGTGAGTGCCCCCAGGGCTGGACTGGATGCTGCTACCTCATCAGAAGTCCTGCATTAGAGTGTAATCTGGCATTAGCACATTAATCCAGTCCTCCCCACTGCCCAGCCCTTGCCCTCAGCACAGTCCAGCCCAAGGTCTCAGGGTACAGCTGAGCAGGCGCAGAACCAGGACATTGTCTCTCTGGCAGCCTTGCCTGGGTGCCAGGGAGCAGGTGGCAGCAGGGGCAAGGTTTAGGGCTCCATCCAGAGCAGCCCTGTGTCTCGGGAGAGCAGCAAAGAGGGAAGAAACCCAACATGGACAAAGTTTCCCCCAGGTAAATCCATGACCTGGGGGGTTGACGGTGACAGTATGGCCCCAGCTTCAAGCACCTTGGCAAGGGAGAATGCAGCATCTCTTGGAAGCATCACAGTGGCCCTTTGGAGGGGCTCCACGGGGGGGTTTGGAGCCTGACTGCCAGCACCTGCAGGCTGCAGCTGGGCCACACTGTTACAAGGCGCTTTGCAGGGAGCCAGGCCAAGGGAAGGTGGCGTCTGGAGAGAGGATGTGAGTCAGCAGCTTGTGTGTGTGGGGGGGTGGGTGGGGAGGAGAGTCAAAGAACTAGCTAGGTGGGGATGGGAAGGGGGAAAGAGGTGGGAACTGGGAGAGCTGGGGAGGGAGCAGGAGTGGGCAGGGAGGCAGCCCACATCCTCTGGGCAGACGTGATCCGGCTGTGCTGTGAAGGCTCTTCACAGTGTGAGAAATTAAGCAAGTGGTAACATGGCTCTGCTAAAATAGGAGAGGGGCTATGCCAGCCCCCTCCGATCCCTTACTGTGGGGGTGGGAGGCTTTGGGAGAATTGGAGGGGTCCCTCCACCATCCTGACAAGACGCTGGAGCCAGGGCAGGGCTCAGTCCTGCCCTTTTGCTGGCTAAGCAAAGCCAGAAACAAAGATGCATGTTTTGTTTTTAAGCAGGGAAAAAACCCTTCTGCCTTTAATCACAAGGCAGCAGAAGGAGCTGCCCGACCAGGTGCTCTGCTCCCTGGCTCTTCCCAGCGCAGGCTGAGGTCCTTTGGGACTGCGTTCTCCCATCACACGTCGGGTACCTGAGGACTCCCCGCAGGTAGGTCTGGAGCCCGCCGCCCCAGACATGCTGCTCGCCCAGCTGCGCACCCCGCTGCCAGGGGTGGTGCTCCCCCGTCAGCCCCCCGCGCTGCGCACCCCCGGTCAGGGCCGGGCACGCTGCTGCGCCGGGAGCCGCGCCGGGCCCAGCCCTGCTCGCCCATTGGCAGGATTTTGCTGCAGTCTGCTCCGAGCCGGCGGTTTTGGTGACTGAAGCAAGCGGCGCTGCCGGCAGGCTGGGTCAGATGGGGCTCCGGGGAGGGGGGGGGGGGGAGGGGGGGTTGCGTTGGGTGGGAGTTGATGCTCTGTCTCCTCCCCTCAGGTAAGCACGACATGGGGGTGAGAGGAGGGGTTTCTGCAAGTGGGATCTAAGGATAGAGCATCCCGGGTTGCCATGGTGACACTGGCTGCATCCTCAGGCGAGCGAGAGCATCGCTGGTGCAATCCTGCATGAGGGTCCCAACCTTCCCTCCTGGCTGCATCCCTCGGGAGTGCAGGGCTTGGATCCTGGCTGTTGGGGTGGCACTCTGGGGACAGAGCAGGGGGACTGTGCCAGGGGAGCTCAGAGCAGAATGAAGCAAGCCCTCAGCTGCAGCCTGTTGCATTGGAAGTGTGCGGTGGACCTCCCTCTCCCAAAAAGGTAACTCTCCACTTTTCACAGCATGTCCACTCTCTGATCCAGCAGGAACCTGGTTTACAGGGCTAGGAATGAGGAGGGAACTGGGCTCAGCTTTGCTTCCCTGGTGCAGGCACTGGCAGAGGGACAGGACTGGGATGGCAGGAGGGGACCTATTAGTGACCCACATCCTTTAATACGAGTCCTGCCTTGCGTCATGCAGTTACCTAAGCCCCAAAGCAGGCTCCTCTGACAGAAGCATGGCCCTGAATGTGCAGGAGCCAGCTGTGGCCAGCTCCCCCATTTTGCCCTTGCAAGGCCAAGCCTGGGGATGTCTTCAGCCTGAGTGCTTGTTGCACGGGGGTAATGACTCCTTTTCCCTGCACTTTACCTTTTGCTGTCCTTGAGGATCAGCCTGTGGGATGCTCAGAGGCCTTGGGGGGAGGGACCCACCCGGAGGGACCCACCCAGCCCCTGCAGCTCCTTTCCCATACACGGACTCCCTGCTGGCAGCATCAGTTCCTCCCCTCCACAGCCTGAGCCCTCTCCAAAGGGGATACTCACATCATATCACCCTCCCTTAAGCTGATTAGGGCAGTAAGGCTGTGCCTGAGCAGATGCCACTAAGGCCGTAAGAGTGGCCAGACCCTGGGGGACACAGAGGGGCCAGCACAGAGGCCACAGATCTGAGGGTTGCTCTTACCTCTGTGGTGTAGGGAGAGGGCCTGGGGGGACTGACCACTCTATAGGCTGAATGACACCCCCCTGTAGAGCGATCTGATCCCTGCCATAAGCCTGACTCCCAGCCCTGGCCCCATGGACCTCTGATGGGATATGGGGTGAAGACCACAGTCCCAAGGCAGGGAAAGCAGAGGGCAGCCCCTGAGCCCACACCAGCCACCACCAGTACCAGTGAATCTGTGGGCACGTTCCTGAAGCCGGGCAAGCACTGCTTTCCTGCTCACCCTGTATCAATGTCACACTTGAGCCTGGCTTCATGGTTTGGGACCTCCCTCCTCCTGGCACAGTGCAGTCCAGCAGGGACATCCTCTGCAGGATCAGGCATCGCTGGACCCATTGCATTGCCCCAGCTGGTTGCACGGGCTCTGTGGGTCACCAGAGATCTGCCTTCTGGTGTCCTAAATTCCCTCGGATGATGACGGGGTAGCAGACATCCCACCAGGCCAACTGCATCTCTTCCTCCAGCTTCCACATCCACTAGCCAGCCTGAGAACAGGGCTTGTGGCTTCCCTGAAAGGGTGTCTCAAGCAGCCCAGAGGTTTCCAACTCTGTCCTGTTTTTTGGAGGCTGTAAGAGCCAGAGGTAATGTCTGGAGAAAAGGTGATGCAGCAGGGTGGGCACATCCTCCCTACCCCAGCCCTGAAGGTGCTCTGGCTTGGATGAGAGGGGATTTACTGGGTGGTTTTCCTTCTTGCCATCCCTAAAGACACAAGAGGGCACAGGTCACAGCACCTTTCTATTTATTGAAGACCAATCCCTCCCCCCCAGCCAGCGCAGACCCCTACATACCCGGCTCTTCTGCACCCAGTGGGCTAAAGTCCTGCTCTGGAGAATGGGGGCACCTCCTCAGACCCCAGGGAAGAGGTGCAGGGCTGCTCCTCAGTGCCCAGGGCTCCAAGCCTTGTTGTCCCTTCTCCTGCTCCACCTGCCACCCAGCTTTGTCCCTGGAGATGTCCCCACCTTGAAAGTGTCCAACTAAGCCCTGCATATGAGGTCTGAAGACACAAACTGGATCATTAAACTTGGAAGTGACCAGCAGGACATAGGCTTCTGTGCAGGGTGTTGGAGACTGTCCTGCTCTGTGACATAGTCCTCAGGCACTGGGGAGAAGGGAGGGCTGCAGGGGTGCTGCCTCTGGGCTCTTGCCTTGCCCTGAGGGGCTAGCTGTGCCCCCCACACCTGCCCCTGAATCCTCCAACCCCTGGGCAGGAGTTAAACCCATGAAGGACATCTGCTCTCCAGACCAAGGCTTCTCCTGAGGTCTGGAGGAAGCCACCACACTGGCCGGAGGTGTAGTAGAGGTGGAAGAAAGGAAAGCTTTGGAGGCAAAGGTGGGGGACCAAGGAGCAGCAAGGGGGGGTTCCCCTTTCCCTACCCCTGCCCCAGTGGAACATGCACCCACAGATGCTGCTGCCCTCGGGACTCAGCTCCTCTCTGCAAGGAGAGGGGAGGGCGGGAACAGGCTGGGGGCAGAGCATGGGGTGGGCAGCATGTTGCTAAGGAAAGGTGGGGGGAGCATGATCCCTGCCAGGAGGTGAGCCCTTGGTTTTTCCTTCCATTCGCACCCTGCTTTAGGTATCCATGTGCATTCCCAGGGTGATGGATCCCTCCTCATCCTAAATTGAGATCACTTTTCTTCTCCAGCTACCCACCTCAGGGAACCAACCCACCTACCCTGCAAGCACCCCTCACACATCACACCACTCTCCAAATCTAAAAAGGGGCAACTGAGAGCAGGCCATGATCCCACCCCCCATTCCTCCCTGCAGAGCTCCGCAGCCCCACACTGCCAGGGTCATGCGCCTGGCACAGCTGAGCCTCTAATGGTAGTGGTTGTTCATGTTGTTGAGGTGGGAGGCTGCCATGGCACTGAATGGGGCAGAGGGCTGCAGCCCATGCCCAGGGTAGAGGGATGGGCTGGAGCCAGGCCAATAGGAGAAGCCAGCTGGTGTCACCCCCGAGGTCATGAGATTGAGTTTGGAGATGCCTGAGAAGGGCAGTGGGGCCAGGTTTCCCTGGAATTTGTAGAGAGTGTGATCGGGAGCAGTCGGCTGGCACACCTGAGCCAGCCCATGGAAGTCGAACTTGTAGGCGTAGCGCTTGCCATGGACCTTGGTCATGATGTTCTTGTCATAGTAGTAGCGCAGTGCCCGGCTCAGCTTGTCGTAATTCATGTTGGGTTTGCTCTTCCGCTCGCCCCAGCGCCGCGCCACCTCGTCGGGGTCGATCAGCTTGAACTCCCCGTTCGTGCCTTCCCACGCGATGCAGTTCAGGTTGGCCCGGTCCGAGAGCAGCTCCAGCAGGAACTGCCACAGTTGGATCTGCCCGCTGCCTGCAAGGCCAGGCCCCAGAGAGGTTAAAGCTCCCTCTCAGGGCACAAAGAATGGGGTGAGATATGCCCCAGTCTCCTTGACCCCCTGATATGTTGCCACCTCCCAGACCCAGGTTTCAGACATCCCTCATTACATTTTCCCTCCTCTAGAGACACAGAAGATGGTAGCGAGGTTGTGTCTCCCTTGCAGTATCCCTTCCTGTGCCCCAAGCAAAAGGAGGAGAAGATGCTCGTGCACCTCAGGACAGGGGTAGGATGCTCAGAGGTCAATGCAGGCTGCAGTGGGTCTGGATCCAGGGTCCCCACATCCCTCCCACCCTGATTCACCCCCTGCTGAAGATGAATACCTGCTCATTTGCTTTGGTGTGAGGATCTGGCTTGGTTCTTTCATCTGCAGGCCCAGGAAGGACGTATCTTGGCAGTGCCCTGGTCTATCCCAGAACAAATGTTTCCCACTGCCACCTCTGCTTGAAATTGAGCTGGTGTCACAGCACAGCCCCTTCCCATTTCTAAGGCGTACAGTGTCCTACAGGGATGTCCCCACAGTAAGCTGAAGTCAGAGTACAGCACTGCTCTGACCTGCACCCTTGACAGGCATAGGCAGGTACAGGGGAAGGAGAGACCAGAATAGGACAGGACCTGCTGCAGCTTTGAATCAGGCACCACTGCTCATTTCTGGAGGAAAACTGCCCTTTCTGAGCCATGGCCATTGCACCCACAGCTTACACTGAGGAGCACCCTTTCTGGATGCCTGAGATGCTCCTGTACCAGCCTGTGCATACACAAAGCTTGGCACGCCTGGACATGCCCATGGTGAGGCACAAGGACAGGATCCAGTGGGTCTGGCCAGAGAACCTGGGAGGAGAGGGTCCCTGGAGCTTAGGGTGATGAGCAGTCCCACCTCTGGGACCCAGCCACCCTGCAGAGCAGCTCTGCACTTACCTAGACCCCCTTCTATCCTCCCCTCAAACAGCACCCCCTGCACATCCCTGCCTCCGCCTCTGGCCCTTGTAGCACAGTGATATCCGTGCCCCTGTTCTGCCCCTATTTTGTCTAAAGGTGCTTGGATCCCATATAGAATTTTAGCACTCACAACTGCTGCAGCAGGCACAGCTCAGCTACATTTCCCACTAAGAACCACCTTGTCCTGCTTGTTCCACACCCACCTATTTTATCTGATACCCCCACAATTCTTGTTCCAGAAGAAGAAGGGAACAGCCATTCCTCATCCATCCCCATTCCACCAAACCCCACTTAGACACCCTGATCCAAGCAGGTGAGTCCAGGTCTTTCCAAAGTATTGTACTTCCAAATTCACTAACCTGAGACCAAGGTAGGAACCTCTCCTCCCTAGGGTACATCCTCAGTCCTCACCCTGGGCTTTTGCTATCCCCTACCCATGCAAGGAGGGCAGGAGGGTGTTGGGGTGCAGCTGGATGAGGTAGCAAGGCTCAATCCTGCCTGCCGCAGGGTGCTATGCTGCAGCACCCAGCAGTTCCCCAAAGAAACCTCCAGGGATCCAGAAAGGTCCTTCTTGCTGCAGTGCACAGAGTATGGCTGGGGCAGATTCCGCAGTGCAGATGCAAAAGGGTCCCCCCTCCCACCCCAAAACCAGGGCTCCCCTTTTCCTGCTTCGAGCACCCTCTGGTCCCTGTCTCCTTGCCAGACAGACAAGCTACACGTCCCAAATACCACAGTGGCCGATGGCCAGTGCTGCTGTACTCACAGCTGGCTCCGGGCTGCATCCCGGCTAGCCCTCGGCCAGTCTCCGGGGCCCCTGCATGGTATTCCCTGGACGGATGGCTCCGACTCCTGAGGATCCATCCTCTGCCAGCCAAGACAAGCTGTGCCTTGCCTGAGCCCCAGCCCCTTACCGGCAGCTCCTTCCCCGGTAGTATCTCACCTATCATAGAATCAACTAGGCTGGAAAAGACCTTTAAGATCATCAAGTCCAACCTTTACCCCAGGACTGCCAAATCCACCACTAAACCATGTCACTAAATCCCCCCTCATGTCACTTCATTCCCCCTCTCCCAGGATCGTGTCACCCGAGCCCGGATTAACCCGCCCAGCTCCCGGGCTGGTTGGCAGCTCCCTCCCCATCTGATATCCCTGGAGCACCTGAGGGACTCTGGCTGGGACCCCGCACCTGCCCTGCTGCGGGGCTCCGCCGGCGCTGGGCACCTTGCTCCGCTCTGCTGTGAAGGGACGGCTGGTCCTGCCCGTCGGGGCTCTCCCCGGTGGTTTAAGCGGCGGGGTGAGCCTGGCCCGAGCCTCCCGCAGCAGCAGGGAGCTGGACACAGGGGCGGGAAGGGGGCCCCGATGGCTGCAGTGCGGGATGGATGCTTGTGCTCCGGGGAGTGCCCGCTCCGGGCGGGCCGGCAGAAGAGGCAGCGGGGCTCTTACCTTTCTGCACGCCGGGACTGAGAGACCCCCACGCCTGGCTCTTCCCGTCTTTGAACAAAGTTTCCCCGACTGGATCTGGGGGGGAAAAAGGGGCGCGGGTGGGGGTGGAGGGGGGGCTGGAGCCAGGCGGGACCGCGAGCCCCGGCGCCCACCCGCGGGCAGCCTCCCCGCAGCCCCCGGCCTCTCCCCCTCTCCTGCACCGCCGCCGCAGCGAAGCCAGGAAACGCGTCCAGGAAAAAGGAAATCCGATTTCCGACGGAGCCGGGGAAGCTTTTAAATAGGAACAGAAAATCCCGCGGATTGGGGCAGGGAGAAGAAAAGGAGAAGGGGGAGAGAGCTATGGGGCACAGGGAGAGGAGGCGGGTGGGGTGGAAGGATGGGTGGCAATAGCAGCGGATGGAAGGAAGGACCAGTGTTGGTGTTTGGAGAGTGGACGGCTTGCAAAAGGAGAGATAGATGGATAGGTGGATGAAAGGAAGGAGAGATGGGTGGATGGAAGGGTGGAAGGACAGAAGGGAGGTGGGTAGATGGAGGGAAGGACTAGAAGGAGGGGAGGAAGGATGAGAGGTAGACGGATTGAAGGAAGGGCAGGTAATGGGCAAGACCATGGATGAATGGGCTGGTGGAAGGGACAGAGGGTAGATGGAGGGAATGGCAGGTAGTGGAGACAGAAAGAGAGACAGAGGGACAGGTGTGTGGGGGGGGAGAAGGGTGGATGGAAGCACAGGGAAAGGGTGGGTATGTGGAAAGATGGGTTGGAAAGACAGAAGGGTGAATGGAGGGATGGAAGGACAGGGAGACGTTGAGTGGGTGAAGGACGGAAGGGAAGATGGGTGTGCGGGCATGGAAGGCTGTGAGGGCAGCTGGAAGGAAGGAAGGAAGGAAGGAAGGAAGGAAGAAGGGATGGTTGTGGGTCTGGAAGCCAGGAAAGGAGGACGGAGAGAGAGAGAGGAAAAGGCAGGGTGGGCGCTGAGGGAGACGGGCAGAGAAGAGCCCCGGGGCAGCGGCGGGGGCGGATGCTGTGAGGTGCACGGCGCTGCAGCGGGGCCGGGGGTTCCGCCCGTACCTGGCAGGTACATGTTGAGCAGCAGTGGCACCGCTCCGGCGCCGTGTCTCATGGCAGCTGTGGGGGCGGCCTGCGGGCTGCATGTTTTAATATTCCTGCCCCTATTATTATTATTATTATTCCACTTTATCAGGGAGCAGCTGATGGCGAATAAATGGCAGCGGGACGGGCAGGGGACGGGCAGGGGCCGGGGGAGGCGGGGGGGGGGGGGGGAGTTTCCAGGCAACTCGCAGGGGCTCGGGGCCCCGGCTCCAGCAATTTCCTCCTCTGTAATTAAAGCGGGCGCTGCCCCCCCCTCCCCCCCCTCCCTCCCCCCCCCGCTATCGGGCCCGCATCAGACTTTAATCACGGCCGCGGGTTTCTATGGAGAGCGGCTCGGGCCGCTTCCTGCATCTTCCGCCTCCTTAACTCTTCGCAAACACGGCTCTGCTATCCCAGCTGGGAGCGGGGCTCGGACACTGCCTGGAGACCGCCCAGGCCTGGACTCCCACCAGCATCCTGTCCCCCAGTCCACAAGGCCGGCCGGTGGGCACGGTGGTCCCCACACTGCCCTCCACATCTCACTGTTCAGCACTGGCATCATCCCGCTTGCCTCCATCCCTCCAAGCCACCCATGTTGCCTGCCACAGGCCTCTGTGCCTGCTCCTTCTCCAGCTCTGGGGTCCTCAGTGCAGTCCTGGGGTCCCCTTGCAGGTCGCAGAGCCCTGGGGTGGGTCAGTTGGGTCCCCACCATGTCCCTCCATCTCCAAGACACTGCAAATGGGATTCTTTTGCAGTGCCCAGAGCTCCAGTGTGGGTTAAGTGCATCTCCAGCAGTTGGTGGCACCAGCTTTACCACTTCCTTGGTTTCTCCATGCTCTTCTGGACAGCCTCTGCCATTCTGGGGTCCACAGCCCTGTCCCAATCTCTTGCCCATCTTTATTAAGACTTGTAGAAACTGGGTGACTCTCCACACTCACCCAAACCTTCATGCTCCATCTCCACCACCTTGTCCCGGGCAGCCCTGGGTGTTGTACAGATGGGAGGACAATTCGGGGAGAAACTTGTAACAGGGAAAGGGTCTGGGGTGATCTTGGCTCCCAAAAGACGCATCTGACCAGGTTTTGCCCCACCATATATGGCTCCAGCTGCAACATCAGCTGCAAGGTCCCAGTGGAGCTTCTGCACCCCCAGCCAAGACCCTCTGCCAGCACCTCACAGCTTGAGGCAGCCAGGCAGCATGCCAGCAGTGGGCACCAGCTTTGCGCCATGAGTCCAATGTTGTACAGCCAAGCCACCCATCAGCCCTTGACCTCTCCTGCAGTGTTTCATAGATGTCTAGTAAAAGGATGAGCACTCATGATGTACTTAGATGTATTTCTTGAAAGTGGTCATCATGAGGTATGAATCCAATGGAAATCAGGATATAGCCACATGTCAGACCCACAGTGATCATTTATACTACAGTTAAAATGTGCCTTGCATATGAAGAAGCTGCATCTCATGGGGAGCAATATCAGACAGGGTGCCACAGTCCAAAAAAGCTGGTGGCTCCTCCTTGGTGGGGGTGTCCAAAGGGTTTAGGAAACAGGGTGCCCCATGGGTACTGAGGTGGCCTCCTGGTGCTCCACCCCTGCTGCTCATCCTCATGGGGAGCAGGGAGCAGATGCTGTTGTGGGGATGCATCAGCAGAGCCCGTGGTAATCCCCCACCAGCTCCCCACCAATCCCGTTTGTGTGTAATAGCCCTTAAAAAGTTTTTCTTCCCCCAGCTTGTGCCCTGAGCTCCCCTGACCCCTGCAGAGGGTGTTCCAGCTCTGCACAGCCCAGCAGCTCTGGCTGCTCCCCCCATCCCTCTCCTCCCCAGCCCCCTAAGTGCAGATCTCCCCCCAGCAGTGGTTCCGCAGCCTCCCAGACTTGCTTTCGCTGCCTGAGTCACTGCAACAAAACGCAGGCAACGGAAAACAAGCCCCAGAGACAGCGGCGGGAGGTGGGGAGGGGGCCAGACCCACCGAGCCCCTCTGTCCTGGCAGCCCCAGTGACCAGGATCTTCCTCCAGGAAACCTTGCATGGCAGAGGGCACGGAAGGGGGAGCCTGGGCTGTGGGACACCACATCATCCCAGAGCTGGGGAAGCAGTTTGGGATCAGCCTGAGAAGCAGGAGCTGGAGATGGGGAGGCTGTGGGGAGCACTGGGGATGGGGACTCCTGGTTCCCTGGGAGAGCCAGAGGAGAGGGGTTACAGTGTGGTGTGAGAGGACTGGGGGCTTTGGGTGATCTGAGGGGTGTAGAGGAGCAAGGAGTGTGGGGTCCCAGGGGCTGGGGAGCCCTGAGCAATATGACACCAGGTTAATGAGGGAGCTGGGACATGGGGCAGCTGGAGCAGACCCATGGGGGTGGGGGGTTGGGGGGGTGGTACAGAGTACACGAGGAATCCAAGGACCCAGGCCACCATGGGGAACCCAGGAGACAGAGCTTTGGGTTCATGGGAGATCTGGGAGATGTGGGTTCAAGTCTGTGGGGCTTCAGCGGACAGAGCCCAGACACGTGGAGCACCCAGCTGGCAGCAGCAGCAGGTCCCTCTGGCTGCAAGCAGGCAGTTTGCCCTCCCCCCCAACCCAGCACTCTCCCCTACCCCGAGATGGAGCACTAAGGACCCCACATTTTGCTGTGACCCCCGCAGATCCCCCCCTTCCCTGCCCTATGCTCAGGTGCCCAGAAGACTTCACCTGTCTGCGGGTGTCGTGGAGCAGAGTAGAGCTGACGTGGCCTTGTGCGGGCTGCAGCCCGGCTGGGTGTGCAGGAATGTGTTTGTGCAGGGGGAGAGGCTGCTGCCGTGGGGCCTGGCGGGGTGGGGCCAGCAGGGACACGGGGGGGGACAGGGGAGGGATGGGGGGCACCCTGCAGTGGGGGCACACAGAGTGCTGTGGGCTCTGTATGGTGCACATTGGGGGGGCAGGGGAGAGAGAGCAGGGACGTGCGTGGGCACACTTGTGGGCAAACTCATGTGTGCAGTGCACACGCTTACACACGCATGCACACAAACACAGGCCGGAGCTGGTGTCTCTGTGCTGTCCTGGGTGCAGGCTGTGCACACACTGACCCCCAGCCCTGTCCTTCCCAGTCTCCAGCACCCTTCTAGGGCCCCCACAGCTCCAAAGCCAAGTGTGCTTGCAGCAAGGTGGGCATCAGGGGACCCAGGTGTCCAAGCCACCCGCCACTGTTCCACCATCCTGAGGCTTTAGAGAGGATGTCCTGGGTGTTGGGAGCACCTTGGGAGCAGAGGCCTGTGCCCCAGGAGGGCTCTGGCATGGAAGAAGAAGAGGAGGCAGGGAAAGGGTGCTGGAGGAGGAGAAGGAGGCTGGGTGGGACTGCCGGTGTGCCCGGGCGGAGCCGGAGCCGGATGCTGGCACGGATGTGCTGGCATGGCCAGGCTGGGCGGGAGGGTCCCTGACCATAAGGGTGCTGGGAGCCCCCTGCCTGCTGCTGGACACTGCCCCTGTTCCCTGCACCTGCACACAACCCCTGTACGTCCCTCCAACCCTGACCCAACTGTGGCCATCCCATTTGTGGCAGCTGCCCCCCCCAGGGGACCCCAATGCTCCTCCTCCCCTCCCAGGCCCACAGCAGGTAGAGACCCCCCACTCTTCCAAACCGGGGTGCAGAGAGAGGGAACCTCGTGTTCACAGTCTTTGTAGCAATCACCTTCCCTGGCACTGAGCCTGGGGGGAGGATCCAGGGCACAACCCCCCAGGATGCCCCAGATCCAGCTGCTCCTTTGCCCAGTCAGGCCAGGAAGTTCTCATTTTGCCATGGAGCATCATGAAGGTGGGAAATTCTGCATCCCCTCCACTGGCTGTGCATGGACCAGAGATGGAGTGCAGAGAGCTCAGCTCAGGGTGGAAGTGTCCAAGTGTCCGTAAACAGCTGGGGAAGGAGAAACTCCTTCCATCTGCTGAGATCTGGGGGGCAGCAGAGGTGGGCAGGTTCCCTGCCTCCCACTGCACAGGGGGTCCCCTGGGTCCAGCAGCCCCCCAGGGAGCAAAGCAGAGGCAGAAACAGCCTTTTTTTTTTGACAAATGCCTTTATTTGCTACTGGATAGAGGTCTATTGCACAGCAGCCTGGAGGCTGTGGGGCGCACGACCCTGCCCCTGCTCAGTGCTGGACACGGCGGATGGATTGGATCTGGTTGGTGTGGGCCTGGCTGCTGTATTCGTTGTACTTCTTGAACTCGCCGTTCTGTCTGTCCCGCTCCAGCACGTACTGGTAGCCCCTGTATCCTGGGTACTGGTATGCCACCCACCTGTGGGCAGACCCCTGCCTCAGAGCCCTGGGCCAGATCCTCCCATCCCAACCCATCCCATCCCACCCCTATCCTTGCTCTGGGAGTGGAGGGACAGAAAACATTGGATGGCTAGGATTTCCAAGGGAAGAGGAGCAGGCAGGCACCCCTCCTTTTTGGGGTCCCCCTTCTCCATCCCTGGTGCTATGCAGGAGGGAGGTGCTTGCTTAACCTCTGCTCTTGCCCTTCCACCAGTGAGACTCACGCTCCAGCATTCACTTTGATGGATGCCACCTCCTTGTTGCCCCAGCCCATGGCCTGCAGCGAGGGGTAATCATCGTTCAGCTCAAACTTGTGCCCCTGGAAGTTCTCAGCCTCGTAGAGGATGACTTTGCTGTCATTGTGGTTCTGCAGAGGGAGAGAGCTGGGGGTCAGCAGAGATGGGGTGGCTCGTGCAGGGACAGAGGATGTGGCTGGCATCATGTGAGTATACACCAAGGCACCTTGGGAAGCCTGGTGCCATGACCAGCTTTGGTGCAAACCATGGGGATGTCCTTCAGCTTGGCACCCCCTCACCAGGACACACTAGGGCTGCCCCAAAGATGCTGCTCTCATGTCCCTGTGGTCCCAAAGCACAACTGACAGTGAGGGTGACAGTGGCCACATCCTCTGCACCCACCTGGGCTCCTGCCCTCAGCATCCTCACTCTCTCCAAGGCTACAGGAGGATTGCAGGGCAAGACAGGCTGCTGAAAGCAATCCCCCAGCTCTGTGGGGCTATGCTGGGTGCTGGGCATCAAGGGGTTAATTGCTGGGACACTGAGATGCGGCACTGTCCCCCGTGCCCAGCCCCCTCACACATCTATCTGCACCGAGGAGCAGTCCTGCCAGTAAGGAGTGATCTTATCGCATCCCCTTTATTAAAGCCCAAGCATATCTGCCTGGTGATTATTAAAAGTTGGGGGGGGACCCCCCTCTCAGAGGCACAGACGTGCCGCTATTGCAAGCACCAGCGTCTCTGCAGATGGTGCGATAGAGGCTGCAGCTGCCTGGGCACAGCTCGGCTCAGCTTGGCTTGGGTACCCCAGCGGGAAGGGGGACAGAACCCGCACCCCAAAGCAGCAGCAACCCTGCGGTCCTGCCAGATTCGCTCTGCTTACCCCATCCCTGGGTATCTGAGTGGCGGGACAAGACCTGGGGACTCCAGCCTGGGAGGGGGCTCCTCACTGCACGAAGAAGATGGGGGTGTTTCAGGCTAAATTTTAGCCCTAAAGAGAATCCCAGGATCCTCGCAGGGAGGTGGGAGCCAGTGGGTGCAGCCACCCCTTCACCCCATGGCACCTCTGTGTACACCTCACCCCTCCATCCTGTATTCCACCTAAGCCATCCTCCTGTCTGTCCTTCATCTCCCTGCTGGGCTGCCGGGGGGAAGCTCTGTCTGCCCCAGCACACTGCGGTGATGTCCCCACAACTCACTGCGCACTTGACAGGCCGGAAGGAGAGGAGGTGCTCGGTCCGGTAGCCGCTGTTCCCGCTCCAGGCCTCCCACCGGGGATAGTCACCCTTCTCCAGGATAAACTGCTGCCCCTGGTACTCAGGGTACTCGAAACCCACCCAGCTGGAGGGGAGAGGAGGAAATCCCTCAGAGATGTGCGTCACAGCGCCTGGGTTCAGCCCAGGGTTAGCTTCTCCCTCCCGTGCAGGGGATGGGGACGTCCTGGCAGGGTGTGATTCGGAGTCCTTGCTAGCAGAAAACGTTCCAGACTTTTGAGAATGGCACCCATATAACCAGGGCCACACCATCGCCTCTGACCTGTGCCTCAGCTCGGCAGGGTCTCCCTGCCTTGCAGATGGGGAAACTGAGGCACCATGCAGGGAGCATAAGGAAGGAGGTTGCAGGATGCGGCTGTGTCGGAGATGAGGAAGCCAGGTGTCCTGGCTCCCTGGTAGCTCCTGACAATCCACTGGGAGCAGGGGTTCTGCTGAAGCAGGGTGCACCAAGGGGATACAGGGCTGGAGGGGCACTTACGGGCCAGACTCCACCTTGATGGAGCGGATCTTGCGGAAGCCGCGCTCCATGATGCTGGGGCACTCCATGAGGAACTCACAGCGCTTGCCCTGGAAGCTCTCCTCCTCCCACACCGTGATCTTGTACTGCCCCAAGGTGTCCATGGCTTCACTGCTGGTCATGCGGGTCGCTCAGCTGCTGGCAAAGCCCCTCACATCACTCCAGGCAGGTGCCCCCATCAGCCACCCCTCTGCCTACCACCGAGCTTGGGGTGCTGGCAGTGCTGCCCACACATGCTCTGTGCCACCGGCCCCTCACCCCCCAGGGTGGCACAGGAGATGCTTCCCATTCCCCGTCCCTTGGTGCTGTCCAGTGAAGTGATCCCCAAGATGCAGGGTGCACTTGCAATGCCCCATATCTCCGTGTGATGAACCTAGAGCTGCCTCAGTTTCTCCACTCCCAAGCTCCCTGTGATGACTCCTGGGGGTGATCCGGGTGCGGTGGCACTGTACCCAGTGCAGGGGGTGGCATGAACCCAGTTCAGACGTGGGTGTGGGTTGCAGCCCTGGGGTGGAGCAGCCCAGCTCTTGTAAAAGTGGGTGCCAGAACCCCTCCTGGCTGCACAGGGTCCCCTGCTCTGCCCCGCAGCACCCCGTGGCTTGCCCTTCCCGACATGTGCGCTAGGTGGGGGGCTGGATGTGGGGGTGAATGGAGCGTGGCAGCGCCTGGGCAGTGGGGGGGCTCGGGGGCTCACAGCCTGGTACTTACTTGGTCGGCGGGGCAGGGCACAGAGGCGAAGGTGGCGGTGCCGGTGCTGGCTTTCCCCCTCACCCTTTATAGGCGGGTGCCGAAGTGCCGATGGTGCAGGCGGGCAGGGCGCTGTGTCAGCAGGCAGGGGATGGGGGGGACGGGGTGCGCAACCACCCCAGGCTCTGGCTGTCCATTCCACTTAGGCAGTGTGGCGAGAGCGACCCCCCCGCCTGCAGCAGGGTGACAATGAAAGTGCTGGGCTGTGTTTGTGCAGGGCTCAGGGCACAATGGGCAAAGCGCCTGATGCGATGCTTTCCTTTCTGCCCCCGGACAATGTCCCTGCTTGGCCTGGGATTAGGGACCCATCCTTTCCCAGGGCACCGCAGACTTTGGCAAGGTTGAGGCTGGTGGGAAGGAGGTGCCAGGGTGATGCAGGGATTTGCCACTGGGGAGCTGAGGGGCACTGATATCTTCACACTCAGTGTGGGGCTGCTTGGGGCTGTATTTTTCCCCCTGCCACCACAGATTCCTCCTCCAGCCAGGCTCTGCCCTGCATGTCCCGAGCTCGCAGAGCACGGCAGGGACTCAGCCCGCACAGGCAGTGCTCCGTGTGGGCTGAGAAGGTTAGGATGAGTGAGGGGGTGATAGAGGTGTTGGCACAGCCACAGCTTGGTCTGTCCATGCTCTGGGAGATGCAACAGCTTGCAAAGGTTCTGGGCAAGGCACTGGTTACATGCTACTTACTTGCAATGCCCTGGGCTTGTCTTCTGGCCTGGCAAAGGGCTCCCTGTGCTCCCCACATACCTCCTGCTGAGGCCAGGGACACTATGAACAACATTGGGGCAGAGCCGAGTCCATCACCTGGGCAGCAGGAGCCCTGCCTGGGACTGTGCCTTGCCATGCAGACATCCCCAGCGCCTCCCACAAGGACCTGGGCTGGACGAGGCCAACACAGGCTGGAAAGGAATGGAAGAAGGATGCCCTGCTATTCTGTGAAATCCTGGGTCTCTTGGCAGTGGTGTTTCTTGCAGCACCCCTGCGTAGCCTGTGGTGAGGTCGGGCACTCCCCGCCTTCAGCTGGGCAGGAGGAACAAGGGCTGGCCCAGAGCACCCCAAACCTCCCCAGGAAAACCCCAGCCCCCCTGGGGGTCCTGAGCACGGGGTCAGCATCCCAAGGAAGACCCCCAGCGCTGGCGATGGATGGCGCAGCACGGGCAGCTGGGGGTGGCGGGAGGACTCCTGGCATCTCTGCCCCGTTCTCATTAGGAACTGGGGACTGCGGGGTGACTGCGGGGCTGGGGGCAGCTCCTCTCCGTTCTCCCCCCGCTGCTCAGCAAGGCGCCTGGCAGCGTTTCCCTCCCCGCTCCGAGGCTGCTGCGAGCTGCGCCGATGCCTGCAGGTCCCAGCAGAGGGTGCAGCCTGGCAGCAGTTGGAGCTGGCTCCGGCCAAGGGACGCCGGTGGCTCTCGGCTGGGGACAGCGCTGGGGAGGCGACCCTCAGCTTGCGACGCCCTGGGTGCGCGTAGCAGGGTGGGGGGAGGCCGCCTGGGAGTTTTGTGGGGAGCAGAGGATGGAAGGAGGGATGAGGATGATCCCAGGGGAGGGAAGGGGGATGCTTGGAGGTAAGCAGACCCCCGGGATGCAGCCCAGTGGCCTGCGATATCCCTCAGAGTGCCGGGGGACAGGTTTGGGCAGCGCTTATGGTTGCCAATACCTTGGGTAAGATGCAGAATTAGCACACCGCAGGGTTCCCCCGCGCCTGAGCTGTGTGAGCAGAGGTGTAGGGCACTGTTTAGTTTGGGGTGCTATGGGGTGTGAGGGCAGTCTGGGGTTATGGGGTGCAGCACACTGCATGGTGTATTACAGAGCCCAGGGCTGAGACACCGTAGGATATGTGGAATGTTGTAGGCTGTTATGGGGTGTGTGAGGCACTGTGTAATATGCTACAGAATTTATGGGGCACTGATGACGTACCAGGCAGGGCACACAAGCAGCTAAGTCACCCCCTTCCAACCCTTTGGATAGAAACACGGATGCAGGCTGTGCCACTTCCTCTCTTCTCAGTGTGTCCCACACAGTGGGATGTGCCTCAACCCCTGCTCAGCACATTTGGTTCAGCCACATGGGAGCGACAGCCATGTCCAGGGACAGTGGATCAGGGGCCTCCCCACTGCACCCCAGCATGCTGATGCAGCCTGGCCTCCCTGGGCATCATCTCCCAGCACCTCCACAAAGTCCCTGCAACCAGTCAGCACCCCCATGGCTGCGTCACCTGCCAGCCCCCAGCCACATCTGCGCAGCTGGGGAGAGGCACGGGGCAGGCAGCGACTGTGCTCAAGGGCAGCTGCTGATACTGGCTCTGGGAGCTGGTTAGCACTGCCCAGGGCCTCCTGCATAGGCTAATTTAATAAGGACCCCACGTTGCTCCCAGCTCAGCCTGTTCCCTGCGCTAGCAAAACAGATCCGGTTTCTCTGTGCCACCAGGCACAGCGTAGGTGGCCGGCAGCCCTGGGGCACGGTGGGGGAACCAAATCGCCCAAGTGCCCCGTGACAAGCCCAGACCATGCTGCCTATGGTCCCCAGACACGTGGATATACCCTGTGCCTTGTGCAGGTGCTGCTCCAGGCACCGTGCATGGGCTGGGGAGCCCCAAGGGAGGTAAGGCAGGTGCTTGGGCATACTGATGCTGATGACACATCTGGGACACATCTGGGGCTGCTCATGGCAGCACATTTTCTTTCCCACTGCTATTATGCGTACCTGGGCTAGCTGTCCAGGACAGCACAGCTGTACACAGTCCTTAATCTGGCCAACGCCATGGACTGAGTCCTGGGTACCCCTCCCAAGCCCAGCTCCTCTCTTCTTGCCCCCAACCCCGCTATGGGCTGTATTGTCACCCCATGGGGGATGGTGGTCCAGGGGTTGGGCCAAGCAGGAGCAGATGGAGCTGGTGCCAGCCCCTGTTTGTCTTTCTCTCAGTTGCTTGGTGCTCTGTTTGTTCTGGAGATGGCTTCCTGCTGCCAGGGCCTAAACAGGTGGCTTATATTTGCAGGGTCTGGCTGATAAGATCAGGGGCAGTGTGTTGCTCCCCCCACCCAGCCCCACTGCTCCTTCTTCCTCCCCTTTCTCCCCCAGCCCCATTTTCCTGAGTAAATTGTCCTTGGCAAGGACACAAATAACCCCCTTCCCTCTCAAAGCATCTCCCCTTTGGGGTTGCTCTGAATATGGCCACACCAGGTTTGGCAAACCCCAGCCAAAACCCCCACATCCACCTGCTGGGTCCCCAGATACCAGAGCTGAGGGGCTCACTGGGGTCCCCACTGCCACTTGTCCCCTCCTGGGCCCTTGCTGACCACATTGAACACACGCGTGCAGGCAAGTACCTGCCCTTGCAGAGGCGCTGCCTTGCCAGTGAAGCCCCAGCACATGCCAGCCACCCGCGCACGTGTCCCCTGTGCACTGCAGCCGGAACTCCCAGGACGTGTTGCTGGGATTAACTGCCGCACAGGCGCACACGCACACCGCTGCCAGCTGTTCTGTGCCCGCACAGGGCCCGGGCACTTGGGATCCCCCAGGGCAGAGCTCGGCAGGTACCTGCCTTAGCTCCTGCTGCACCCTGGGCAGGATGAGTCCGCAGGATGTGCAGTCAGAGGGAGAGAAACCCCAATGGGAACTGGGAAGTCAGATGCTGACTGGTCACCAATAGCCAAAAGGCAGGGATGTGGTTGAAGGCTCAGCCACTTGCAGCACAAGGGGTACCCGCGTGTCCATGCTCACAGCTGGGTCTTGCAAGCAGCCTCCCAAGTGGTCTTCCATACAGCATCCCTCATCCCAGCCTCCACTCTGCCCATGTGCCCATGGGCCCAGCCAGCCACCAGTACCCTGGTGGGACCAGCTCTCCAGACCTGTCTACCTGGTACCCACACCAGTGCCTTGGGCACCTCCAGGCATGCTGCTCACCCCCTACCTGTGGGATGACTGCACCCACCCTGCCCCATGGCACCCACAGCTCCTGAGGTGCACCCACAAAGACCCACCAAGACAAGGGTGCTCCCAGGAACCCGTGCTCACCCCCTGCCACCCATCGGAGACCTGCCTGGCCCCTGCCTGGCCCTGGGCTGCCCACACATGGGAGTGTGCTCAGTGCCCCGGCTCTGCCAGCCTTGCTCAGCCCCCAGGAGCTGCCAGGGGAGCGGGGGCCTCACCTGCCTGCTCCCCATTTGTTCCCATGGGGACTAATCCCACTTGAAGGTCAGGGAGGCTCCGCCAGCTGCTCACCTACTGCCTGTGGATTACAGCCCTGGTGCGAGCAGGTGGCAACTGCTGCATCTCCATCCTGGCCTGGCCCTGGTGTGGGGCTGACAATAGAATAAAACTCAGCTGGGCTGCTCCAAAAGGGTCCCAGGTGTGGCAGGTCCCTTCAGCCTCAGGTGTCCCCCAACGTCTGTCATACCCTACCCACATGGACATGCCAGGCACTGAGGCAGAGGAGCTGGTGTCTGGTCCTCAGGTCCAGATCCTGACCTGAAATGGAGCCTGCCGGTGCCAGCCCCTGCAACCTCCCCCCTAATGCCACAGATAACCCCAGCCTGGCACCCCTTGGCACCCCATAGTTACAGTGTTCTGGAGAAACATTCTGGTCCCTGCAAAGTGCCCAATGCAGACCAGTCCCAGCGGAGCACTGATGGAGACAGGGGCATGTCCAACCCCACACGCAGCCCATCCTGGATGCAGGTGCATCTGCGTCAGTACATCCTATCAAATCTGAAGAGGCAGAGCTTCCCAAGTCCCAGCTTTACCTATATCACCTATAGTATTGCCATGGGGGTTGAAGAGGTGGTCTTTGGACATCCCTTTCCCAGCTCCTTCAAACTCACAGTCAGGGGATGCCTGATCAGCCAGCACCCGGCCAAGGTCCCATCCACCCTGCTGCTCCTCCACTCCCTGTTGGCACCCTCTGCAGTGCCAGCACCCTGAGCCATGGCGAGGCTCATCCAGAAGGCAGAGGTAAAGCCTGGCAGTGGTGTCTCCCCTCCTCCAGCCACTCTGAGGAAGCTGTGCAGGTGGGGGCTGAGCCAGGCACTGTGGCAGGAACAGAACATCCTGCCTGAAGGCTCCCAAATCTGGCAACAGCTGGGACAGGAGCGGCTGTCCTGGCACCCTGCTCCACACACATCCACCCTGAGCAGGCTGCCCACGCGCTGGGGACACCAGCTGGCCTGCGAGAGGGGACCCCCACCACTCACCCCTTCCCCAGAGCCGCCATTACAGGATAGAGTGGATGCACTCTGAGATGCAAGACTTGTGCAAGCTCTAGGGTTTTCCCCCCAGCACCTTCAGTGCTCCAGCAAGGACACCCCCCACCCCCACCCCCCCCCCAATGCCCTTTTCTCATGGAGGTTCAGAACCCTTTACAAGGGAAATGAAAAAAAAACTGTCTCTTCATCCCTCTGAAATGTCACCATTTCACCTGCGGGTGTAGGGGGAGGATGCCAGGCTGTAACTACCCTTGCCTGATGCTCCACACAACCAGGAATGGGCTAGGGGTGGGCAGAGCTG